GGGGGCGAGGTGGCCAGAGGAGCCTGTGGGCCTGCGTGGGCAGGAGGCAGCGAAGCCTCTTCCAGCCGCCTCCCCGCCTCCGGCGACCTGGGCTGGCTCCTTGGCCCAGAGGGTCTGGCAGCTGCGGGTGAACGGGATCGTGCGGCTTTGCTTAGCTTCCTTTCTTTCTTTCTGCAAATCGACTCGCATGATTCCAGAGTGGCCAGACGTGCCACGCGGAGTGAGTCACAGCACAAGGTCGCGATCCCGGGGAGGAGGGGCCTGGGTGGGAGCTGGTGGCTCCTGGACCGGCCTGGGAGGAGGGCTGCTCTGCGCTCAGGGTTTAACTGAGTGTGGGATTCTGCCCGGAGCAGAGCAGGCGAGCCCCCCTGACGTGAACAAGATACGAGGTGAATGTCCGCAGCGTGCTGGGCCGCGCAGCGCCCTCCGTCCTGAGCCACCCTTTCGCTCTCTGTGGCCCGAGCGGGTGGCACTTGGGCCTCCCCCCTTCTCTCTGCGTGTCCAGGACCCCACCAGCTTGTCTTAATCGTCCCACAGTGTTTGGAGAACCCAGAGGGTATGGCAGGGCCCAGGGGAGACAGGGTGGGTGTGAAGCAGATAAATGGGGTGAAGCAGCCTCCCTGGGCCCTGCCCCCTCTCCCCCTGGAGGCCCCCCCCTCATAACAATACCTCTATTTGCCAAGGGAGGTCACCCGTCAGGCTTCCAGCACATTCTCTACATTCGGAAGAAACTCGAGATCAGGTTTGGGGCTTTTGTTACGATTTCAGAACTAGCCCAGCTCATCTCTAATTATAAAAACACGATTTTTCCTTTTTTTCTTTACGCTCACAACCAAGCGTCTCAGTAGATCTGGAACAGCTGTAGGACGAACACGTAACCAACATTTAGCGGTTTAAATTCTCTACTGCAAGTTTAACTAGTTGTACAGATAGTTTATAAGCACAATATTTTAAGAAAACAATGTGGCTGGCCTCCCTCCCAGCCTTTGTGCTACTTCCGTGCTCGAAGGTGAAAGAACAACTTTTGTGGTTTGATGACACTTTCTGTGGCATCGTTGCCCAGGGACGACCTTTTTAAATCGAGCTTATTTGGGTGCGTCGGAACCAGCTGGGCTGTGTTACATTTTCTACCTTTGCTAGGACTTTGTCATCAGAGGACAATTATTTCTTCAAAAGTGGTTACAGTTCACGAAGCGGCAGTTTCTCCACACGCACGCGCGCACGTTTCCAGCCACAGGCACTGAGGGGGGAGCGGGTTCGGGCCTCCCGCAGGTCCGCCTCCGCCCCAGCCCGAGTCGGTGAACATCAAGGCGCTTCACGTCCACGTACTTTCCGTTTTTCCATCCGGAGGGACTCCAGGCCCAGACACGCGGTGGCCGGCGAGGCTGCCGCGGTCGGGAAGCATAGAGACTGGTTTGGCCGTTCCCCGTCTTCCACCCGGTGACGCCGCCACGTCCCATCAGCTCACACCTCCCTTTGCCCACGTTTGCGACGCCTCTGTGCTCAGTGCCACGGCCAGTGCTCGGCAGGGCGGGAGGACAGGGCCCACTCGGTGGCTGTGGGTCACGGGACGTGGGTAGCGTCAGTGAGAGCTGGCCGTGCCCCCCCCTCCCCCCAGAAGCCCGCGGACTGAGGCTGAAGAGCCGAGGGAACCGCTTATGCCGCCCTGTCTCCTTCTAGCCGAGTGGCAGGACCCGCCGGGCCTGCGCTGACCCACAAGGGCCCTTCTTGCCAAAATGAACCCACCTCTCGCTCCACTCAGTGATTTTGCTCCAGCAATAGCCCCTCGCCCGCATCGCCGCCCACGGTCCTCCCGGACATGTAGGGCCAGGCCCTGCCCCACGCCCCGCCCTCCATGGTGGCGCCCACGTCAAACTGCTCACAGGATCATGTGGACACTATCCCAGGTTTTAAGATCAACTTTTGTTATATACTGTAATTTAAATAAACTGCATTCACATGCCTAGTTTCTGTAACCTTGTGTACACAGAACCAAAACCTCTCGAGATGTACATTTTGTACCCCTGCCAGGCCCCTCCCCAGGGCACCCGCACACTTTACGTTGATTCATTTACTACAAAGATGACTCGGTGTGACTTGATTTGCCGAACTCTACATATCACAACGCGCATCACTTGTGGTACTTTCGTTAATAAAATGGTGATTTTTTTCCCGAGTTTCTGAACAAGCATTGCCAGGTGAGCTGGCGAGGACACTTTTTGTGGGGGCCACAAATACTGATCTTTTTTCCCATTAACCAATTTTTTTTTGTTTTTTAGAGACGAATCTGTTTCACACTACACTTTGTATAATGTGTTCACATTACCTATGTTACTGTTAACTTTTGTGCTTTTATTCTTTTTAGACTTTATTAAAAACAAAACAAACAAAAAAGCAAGCTCCTGTCATTTGCACTCTCCCGTTCCTTCCATCTCCTGTATGGCACCAAATTACTGTAAAAATAAACGTGCTGTTGCACCAAGGCCGTGCCTCTGATTGCAAACAGCGATGGCGGATTCAGCAGCAGCTGCCCAGCTCGCACCCAGCGGGCTGTGGGCCAGCACAGCCACCTCACCTCCAACCAGAGTTAGAGCGCGTTCCGCAAGCCCGCGTGTCCCCGGTTCCTGGAAGGGCTGGTTCTCCGCGTGCGCATGGACCATGTCTCAGTCCAGAGCCGTGGCATCGCCGGGCGCCTGCGGGCACTGCTGTCGGGGCGGCAGATGCCTGCTTCCTTCCGCATTGGAGGGAAGAAGGGGTGTCGGGGACGAGCCAGGTCGGTGCCTCCCCCTGGGGCAGAGGCCTCCTCCCCGCCCACAGCCTGTCCTCTTGCTGTCCGGCCGCGAGGCTTGCAGAATGGGCAGCCTGACTGGCATAAAGCCGGCCAGGTGGGGTAAGCTAGCGTGCACAAGGGCTCTGGGCAAAGAGCTGAGCCAGGAGGACGGCCGTCCCTCCTGCTGCCAGGAGGAGCTTTAAACCTCCACAGGGACCCTCCTCCCGGCCTCTACAGCATCTTCTGTTCGGGCACCTTCTCCAGGGAGCAGCTGCCGCCCCAGCTCTGTGCTCAGAAGTTGGATTCCTCCGACGTGTTGTCAGCCACCGTCCTCCTGCCTCAGGGCTTGTCCCCGGGTCGTACCCCCGACCTCGCCTGGTAAACGCATCCACCCAGCTCGTTAAGAAAAAGTGTTACTGGGAGACTCTTACTTATGCTGGAGGCATTTTAATAACCGACGAGCAGGAACATCTTTTCCAGTTGGTAGATATGCGCGTTCACACGCACGTGGGTGAGGTGGCGAGGTGCCCGCAGCAGCTGCGTGGACACGGCTCTGCCACGCTTGCCGGGGACCCGGGTCATTTCCGAACGTGCTCCTTGGACTTGGGCAGATCTGCTCACTTGCATTTTCACTCCTCGTTGTGTCGGTGGCTGTGTTTCTTTACTGTTCCTGTAACGTGTTTCTGCACGCCACCATCTCTGCCGTTTCCCGTGGAAATGTCCACTGCTCCTCCTCGGAACGCTGCGTCAATAGCAACTCTGAGACCTTAACGTAAGCCTTTAGTTAAACGCACAAACAAACAAACAAAAAACAGGAAGAAAAAAATGTGTGCCTTGGGTGTTCTGAGCCTGCCCTGCATAAACTCGTGCTGTGCTCCAACGCTGCGTGTTCTGCGAAGGGTAGGCGTGTCTTCGATGTGCCGACGTGGCGGGCGCAGCGGTCACAGTGCCTTCTTTACAGCGATGCGCAGCGCCACGTGGAGAGCGATGCGAGACGGCCACGTCAGGAGACGTGGCCGCGGCTCCGGAGCCTTGCTCAGCCCCAGGCTGTGGGCCGCACAGTCACCTGCGTTAAAAAATAAAAAGGACGTTGACAGAAGATCGCGTTATCAAGTAGTTTTCCATTAAAGGTGTCGCCCCTAGACCGCGCCCAGCGTTCCCTTCAGTGAAAATGCAGAGCGTGTTGGAGAATTTCCACGAAGGGAGAGCTCCGTGAGCCTGCCCACCGGCTTTCCGGCCTCGCTTCCCGGCTCTGTGTCGCCCTCCAGTGGTCATGTTGGCAACGCCGCTTGAGGTCGGCAGTGCTGATCCTTTTACATTTTGTTAAAATGTTTGTTTTTAGTGATTGAGGCCACTCATCCCAGAACTACTTCCATTTTTCATAAGTTAAAGGAGCGGCCATACGTAGTCTGTCTCTTCCTGTGAGAAAAAAAAGCGATGTGAGCCGGCTGGCGGGGCTCAGTGGTGGAGCGTTGACCTCTGAACCAGGAGGTCACGTTCAATTCCTGGTCGGGGCACATGCCCAGTTGAGGGCTCCATCCCCAGTGGGGGGCGTGCAGGAGGCAGCCGATCCATGATTCTCTCTCATCATTGGTGTCACATCCGTCTATCTCTCTCTCTCTCTCTCTCCCTCTCCTGACCTCTTCCTTCCTGTCTCTGAAATCAATAAAAATATATATTTTTGAGGATCTCTCAGGATAACGCAAACTCTGATTAAAAGGTGTATAAACTCATCCACTGTAACGTCTGGAGGCGAATCAGACCGGCCACACGTTGTATTTCTAAGAACCGGGCAGCCCCTCCTCCCCCCTCACTCTCACCCTCGGGCCCAGGACAAAGGCCAAGCGAGTGAATGATGAGGCGGAGCTGCCGGGAGTCTGGACAGGCGTCTCGGGGCCCGAGTCCACAAAGCCCAGGGCAGGGGCACAGCAGCCCGGGAGCCGCCATCTGGGCAGCTAAAAAGAAGCCCGTTTCCGAGCGCACGTTTATAAATGTGCCCACACGGGCCTGGCAGGGACAGGCCTGGGGAGCCCGCAGCCTCCCATCCCGCAGGC